GTCTGGGATGGGATTGGGAAGGAGAAGAGGTCCAGGGGGCTGAATGGGTGAGGAGAAGGGCTTCAGGGTGGGATGCCAGGGGAGAGGGAAAGCTCACAAGGTGATGATATGTCTGGGGTGTGTGTGGGAATAAACCATGGGGTAATGTTGGGATGTGGTATGGGAAGGTCTGGTGGAGCAGGTAGCGGTGTCTGGTGAACCAGCCATGCCTCAGGCATGTCCCTTGTCCCCCTCACCTTTGTCCCCTGTGCTGTCTCTTGTCCCCTCACCGTGTGTCCTCTGCCCCCAGGGCCCCCCACGCTGCTCCTCTCTGCAGGCTCCCATCATGCTGCTCTCAGGGCACGAGGGAGAGGTTTACTGCTGCAAGTTCCACCCCAATGGCAACACCTTGGCCTCTGCTGGCTTCGACAGGCTCATCTGTGAGTGTCACCACTGTCCCCAAGGCTGCTCCCACAGGCTCAGGTCCTTGTGCTGAGGGGTTGTAGCTCAGCTCTCTCCTTACTGTGACCTCAGCATGAAGAGTTTCCTCAGGAGGGTACAGGAGGCTTTTACCAGCTCCTCTGGCAGGTCATGATCCCCATGGGGCTGGAAATGCCTTGCTGGGCACACCCTGTGTCCCCAGAGCCCCCTCAGCTCTGTCCCCAAGTCTCTCAGGTGACAGAAGGTTGCAGAAATGCAGTTTTTAATGCTTTTGTGTTGCTGAGGTGAAGATTAATATTTTCCTTAACCAATTCAGCTTGATCTAAACCCATAAATCATCTCAATCCTTTATCCCCATAAATCAATCTCTGTCCTTTTTGGCCTCTCATGATGTTTCATGCTATGAATTACCCTGGATTGGAGTCCATAGTGAGGATGTACATCCTTAGTTTTGCTGAATTCCCAGAGAGTGACTCCATTCACAGCAGGGAGGTGTTCCCATGTTCCCTGTGCTCACCTCTGCCTTCCTCTCCTCCAGTGCTGTGGAATGTCTATGGGGACTGTGACAACTTTGCCACCCTGAAGGGACACAGTGGGGCAGTCATGGAGCTGCACTACAACACAGATGGCAGGTGAGATCAGGTGGCTTTGGCCTTTGCTGAAGGAAGGGACTTTGTGCTGCTCAGAGAGCCTCAGTGTTCCTCACTGAACCTCAGGGCATGGAGCTTGGGAAGGGTCTGGAGCACGCAGCTGAGGTGGAGGAGCTCAGCCTGGAGAAAAGGAGGCTGAGGGTGGACCTTATTGCTCTCTCCAACTCCCTGACAGGAGGTGCAGCCAGGGGAGGTTCAGGTTGGACGTCAGGAGGAATTTCTTCATGGAAAGGGCTGTCAGGCATTGAAATATGCTGCCCAGGGAGGTGGTGGAGTCACCATCCCTGAAAGTGTTCAAGACATGACTGGACACGGCACTCAGTGCTCTGCTGTAGTTGATGAGGTGGTGATTAGTCACAGGTTGGACTTGATGACCTTGGAGGTCTTTTCCAACCTCATGATTCTGGGATTGTTCCCCTTGCTCAGTCCATGGACAGTGAATCCTCGTAGTGTGGCTTTCCCTGGTAGGAATGGTGCCTGTCTTGAGTGTGGGCAAAGGTTCTGGAGGCACCTGTGACCCACCAGTGCCCTTGACTCAGCCTTGAGGTTCACAGGAAAGTTAGTGACAATCATCTGGGAGGTACTGGGAAGGGGGAGTCAAAAAGGGAGATATTGGTTAGTTTAAAAGGCTGTTCCACTATTGCATCTGAGCAATTACTGCTGAGTTTTCCTGTGTTCATCCCAAACAGTGTTTGAGAAGGCAGAAAAATGATCTATATGTGTCTAGAAATGGAGGTTAAAGAGAGTGTGTCCAGTGTAACTGCTCCACTGCCAGTCAGACTCCTCTGAAACACCAACTGTGTCGTGGTGTGTGGGTGAAATTGTTTTCCCACTGACTTGTCATAGTTTCATGAAATGTTGAGGGGTTGGAATGGAGCTTAGAGATCACCCAGCCCCAGCCCCTGCCCTGGGCAGGGACACCTCCCAGCAGAGCAGGTTGCTCAAGGCTTTAGCCAACCTGACTTTGAACACTTCCAGGGTTGGAAGTTGCCTCCCTGGGCAACCTGTGCCAGTGTCTCACCACCCTCACAGTCAAAAATCTCCTCCTAACCTCTAACCTAAATTCTCCCTGAAACTGTGCTGCCTATCCCTGAGAACAGAAGGTGGGAGGAGAGGAACATTGGCAGAGCCCCTCACACTGCCTCTCCCTTGCAGCATGCTCTTCTCAGCATCCACAGACAAAACAGTGGCTGTGTGGGACAGTGAGACTGGCGAGAGGGTGAAGAGGCTGAAGGGCCACACGTCCTTCGTGAACTCGTGCTATCCTGCACGCAGAGGTCCTCAACTCGTCTGCACCGGCAGCGACGACGGCACCGTCAAGGTCAGTGTGTCTCAGGGGGGCAAAGCCAGGCTGGAAGCAAACTGGGAGCTCTCCAAGTGGCTTTTGGGCTCTTCCCATTTCAGTGGGCTGATTTGGATTTGTTTTGTTATGAGGGGAGAAATACAGACTGAAAGGGTTGCGTGAATGAAGTGTTAAGGTGTTCCAGTCACCTGTGGGGGCAGGAGGAGGAAAAGCTGGAAAATGGAGCAAGGAGTTGGACTTTGATGATCCTTGTGGGTCCCTTCCAGCTCAGGAGATTCTAGGATGTATTTCATTGACTTCAGAAATAAAACACTTGATATCCAAGAGGCTCAGGAGTGACTTCATGGCTCTCTACAGCTGCCTGAGAGGAAGTTGTGGTGTGGTAGGAGATTGTCTCCTGCCATGGCTACAGGAAGAGGACTAAAGGGAATGGCCACAAGCTGAGACAGGGGACAGTCACTTCCAGCTCAGGAGATTCTAGGATGTATTTCATTGACTTCAGAAATAAAACACTTGATATCCAAGAGGCTCAGGAGTGACTTCATGGCTCTCTACAGCTGCCTGAGAGGAAGTTGTGGTGTGGTAGGAGATTGTCTCCTGCCATGGCTACAGGAAGAGGACTAAAGGGAATGGCCACAAGCTGAGACAGGGGACAGTCACAGTAGATATTAGAAATAATTTTTCCCTGTTAGGGTGGCATTGGAATGGAATATTGCCCAGGGAGGTGGTAAAGTCACCAGCCCTGGAGGGGGTTTAAGAGGTGTCTGGATCTGGCACTGGGTGATGTGGATTAGGGATCACTAGTAGTGCTGGTGGATGGTAGGACTGATGATCTCTTCCAACCTTTATGATTCTGTGAAATCAAAGATGCTCAGGGGTGACCTCATGGCTCTTTACAACCTCCTGAAAGGAGGTTGTGGTGAGGTGAGGTCTCTCCTGCCATGGCTGCAGGGGGGGGACACTAGAGGGAATGGCCTTGAACTGAGCCAGGGCAGAGTCAGAGGAGATGTTAGGAGAAATGGTTTCCCTGTGAGGGTGTTCAGGCACTGGAATATTGCCCAGGGAGGTGGTAAAGTCACCAGCCCTGGAGGGGTTTAAGAGGTATCTGGATCTGGCACTGGGTGATGTGGTTTAGGGGTTACAGTGGTTGATGGTTGGATGTGATGACTTAAAGGTGTCTTTCAGCCTTGATGATTGAATGTAAATTTGACTGCTCCTTTGTTTCTGTAATTCTTTGTGTGGTTATGAATATTCACCTGCTCAGTTGTACTTTTGCTGCAGTTGTACTTTAACAAAACATGAGAAAGCACAGATTTCAGCAATACCTGGTCCCTTCTTCCCTCCTGCACATTCCTGTGCTCCAACCACAGCAGGTTGAACAGTTTTTATAGAAATCTCCTAGTAGAGGTACATATTGTTATGTTTTAATGTGTATGTACTATATAGCTACTAATAGATGTAATCATAACTGTACATAACAAATAACATTGTGTATATAATTTATCTACAGAATATATAAGTAGACATTGTTAAATAACTTCTCTCTACCTTTTCTAACTTCCCCATCTTTTCAGCTGTGGGATATCAGGAAAAAAGCTGCTGTCCAGACATTCCAGAACACTTACCAGGTCCTGGCTGTGACTTTCAATGACACCAGTGACCAGATCATATCTGGAGGCATCGACAACGACATTAAGGTAGGACCTTGTGTCCCTTTCCCACCCCATCACACCCTGCCCTGGTCAGGGACAGCCATGGGAGCCTCCTGGTGTATTTTACACCCCAAGAGCCCTGTGGACATGCTGTGTCCAACCTCAGTGCTGTCACAGGGCCAATAGCCTGGGAGGGAGCTGCTGCAGGGAGGTTGCCACGTGACAGCCTGGCAGCCTTGGCATTTCTGGCCAGCTGGCCCAGCACTGCTGTCACCCACATGCTGTCTGTCCTGGCAGGCTGTGTCTATCCCACAGGCTCCAGAGCCATATATGAGGTAAACTCCAGGAAATGTGGTGACACATCCCCTCTGTGCCCTCTGCTCCAGTTTGCAGCTCACTCTGTCACCTGCCAGTGTGGAAAGTTCTTATTTAGGAGAGAGCTCAGGGTTTCATTCAGCTGGTGCCTGAGCTCCTCCTGAGGACTGTGGGGCTCAGGCAGTTTCTGTGTCCTCAGGCTCCAGCCTGCCCTCAGCATGAGGAGCCTGTCAGAGAGCCACTGCTCAGTGGGGTCCTGACAGGAGAGCTACTCCCTCTGCCCCTCCAGGGGAAAGAACAGCCTGAAATCATGGGCAACTGCTGCTCTGTGGAATTTGGGAGCTGAGGGAGCTGTAGCCAGAGCACAGAATCACAGGATGGTTTGGGTTGGAAGGACCTTAAAGCTCATTTCATTCCACCCCCTGCCATGGGCAGGGACACCTTCCTCTAGCCCAGGCTGCTCCAAGCCCCATCCAACCTGGCCTGGAACACTCCCAGGGATGGAACAGCCACAGCTTCTCTGGGCAACCTATGCCAGTGTCTCAGCACCTCACAGGGAACAATTTCTTCCTAATATCCAATCTAAACCTCCTCTCTTTCCATGGGATCCAGAGCTGTGGGGCACTAAATCAAGGTCCTTACCCATATATAACCCTGGGAAACCATAGAGGTTAACCTCATGGAATCATGGAATGGTTTGGGTAGGATGGGACCTCAAAGCTCATCCAGTCCCACCCCCTGCCATGGGCAGGGACACCTTCCACCAGCCCAGGTTGTTCTAAGCCTCATCCAACCTGGCCTGGAGCGCTCCCAGGGATGGAGCAGCCACAGCTTCTCTGGGCAACCTGTGCCAGTGTCTCAGCACCTCACAGGGAACAATTCCTTCCCAATATCCCATCTAACCTGCCCTCTGGCAGTAGGAATCCATTCCCCTGGTCCATCCTGCATGTGGCTGCTGACACTTAACCCTTTAGTGCTTGAACATGTTCAGTTATAAATCCTCTAAGGGCACAAACTCCATCTTCCTACCACACACATCCAGTGCAGCCTCATTTTAGCCTTCAGACCCACTAGTGGGAACCCAGAGCTGATGTCACTGATCAGTCCCTTTGTGAAATGCTTTGGGAGCTGCAGCTCCAACCTTTGGCTGTGTATCTGTTGTGAAAGGTGTGGGACCTGCGCCAGAACAAGCTCACTTACACCATGAGAGGCCATGCAGACTCAGTCACAGGCCTCAGCCTCAGCTCTGAAGGCTCCTACCTCCTCTCCAATGCCATGGACAACACAGGTATGTCCTGCCTGAGGTGGTAGGAACTACTCAAATTGCTTATGGCAGGAAAACCAGAGCCAGAGGTAGGGATGGGCTGCAGGGAGTTTGGCTCCTGAGATGAACCTTGTCCACACAGCAGGGTGACAGCCCAGCCCACCCCATCCTGCCTGGGGGTGCTCGGTGGGGCTGATCCCATTTGAGCTATGCCCATGGAGTGTGTCAGGATGAAGGAAATGCTTCTGGAAGGAGGTTGTAGCTCCTTCCTGGTTATCTGGGTTGGGTTTTTCCTCTCCTTTTGGCAGTGCTCTGGCTGCAGTTACACATTTCTGCTGTTCACCTCTCACAGCAAATCTTCCTGCAGGGGAAGCTGCTGCTTTCCTTTGGCTTTGGGGACCACAGGCATGGAGAGAACAGGGAGCATGAGCAGGACTCTGCTTCTTAGGCAAAGGGAGGCTTCTCTTAGGCAAAGAGTAGTCTCCAGAGGCTGTTCTTGGGCAAAGAGAGGTCTCCAGAGACTTCTTGTAGGCAAAGGGAGGGTTCCAGAAGCTCCTCCTAGGCAAAAGGAGGTCCCAGAAGGTTCTCTTAGGCAAATAAAGGGTTCTAGAAGCTCCTCATAGGCTCTGGGAGGGTTCCAGGACCTCCCCCTGCCCCCCTCAGCTAACTCCCTGAGCTCTGTTGCAGTTCGGATCTGGGATGTTCGGCCCTTTGCCCCCAAAGAGAGGTGTGTGAAGATTTTCCAGGGGAATGTACATAACTTTGAGAAGGTGAGTGTCCTCCTGACCCAAACATGACTGTCTGGAATCCTCCTGCTATTAACTCCTCTGCAAATTGTTCTTGAAGTTCAAGTTTAGACCAGAAAGGCTTTAATAAGAGCTCAAAGCAAGATGAATACACAAGGTGGGTTCCAATTAAAGCTGCAGTAACAAGGTTTCTTTGCTTGGTTCAGCTCTAATTAGCTGTAAATTAAGCATTTGCTACATTTACTACCTGCTTTGTGTAAAATAACAAGGCACTGGGTGTTTCCAGCACTAAAATGAAACTTGTAATTACCATCTCTTCTTCTGAAGAGAGTTCATTACGGTGGTGGTGGGAGGGGGGTTTGAAGTCTCATGGTGATTTTCATTCAAGGAGAAAGGGAAGACTAAATCGATCTGTTCATGTTCCTTTATTTTAGAACCTTCTGAGGTGCTCTTGGTCCCCAGATGGGAGTAAAATTGCAGGAGGCTCAGCTGACAGGTGAGTTCCCACTGCATCCCTCTGTTTCCATCAACCCACAATGGTTTTGCAGCTGTCCTAGCTCAGGAGCTGAAGACTCAGAGTTGTGTGTAGAGGTGTGAAGTCCCAAACAACCCTCTGTGGTCTTCTATGAGCTTTGACCACCCTGAGTTCCCTGGCAGTGTATTTCCACTGCCTTGGAGGAGCTCTGGAGAGCTGTAAAACCTTCTTGTTGTCCAAATCTGCCTAGGGATCTGCATTACTGCATGTTCCACCACAGGGTCCAACACCAGGACCAGAAGGTGACAGGGACATGGTTGCCAATGGACTAGATCCCTTGTTGTCCTGAGAGATGCTTGGGAGAGTCTTGGAGAGCAGGGAATGTGGGAAGTGTGTGTATGGAGGAGTTAGACTGGTAAGGACCACAGATACCAGTTAAATCCCTGTGTGGCAGCTTGCAGGAGGCTCCAGTGGTACTCCATGGATCATTGTTGATCCTTTCTTTAATTAAGGAGTCAGAAGAAATAAAGATGTGACTAAATTAACTCATATTGGGGACCTGTAAATGAGGTATTTCGTTAGCTAAAATCATTGAGGAGTGAAAGGGGCAGAGGGAGGAAGCAAGCAGAGGGTCCATGCCAGGCACTGAAGGTCACTGTGGAGGACACTGACCTCCCCTGGAGCAAATCCAGGCACATTGGCAGTGACATGGAGCCTGGAATTCCTGCAGGCCAGGGGCCAGGACATGGAGCAGCAGCAATCACCCAGTTAATGAGTTTCTGATAGCAGATAGGGAGAACTTCAGCTCTCACTGCCCACATATAGTGGGGCAGCTGTCCTAGCAAGGGGCTGAGACATGACTTTCCTTTCCAGTCCTGCTGGGCAGGAGTGTGGGGGAGGG